TAGATACCGGTGCAAATGATTCATTATATACTGATAATATTCCTGAGTATTTAGGGATAAAAATAGATAAGAAAAATGTTCACAAACTTACTGGTGCAGTTGGAGATTCCCAATCTATTGGTACTACATATAATGTTCCTATAACCATAGGCACTGAAAAAGATTCTATAACAGTTTCTGAAAAAGAAATATCTGTAATCCCTACAAAAAAGGATTGAAATGGAAAAGACATATCTATAATGATACTTGGTACAAAATAGCAACATTGTGTTGGGTGGAATCCAATAGTAAAAGGAGAATTCACAGCTACACACAATGGAAAGACTATTACAATTCCTCTTTCTACTCACAAAGAATCACATAATGCATTTAATACAGAAAAATTACAAGCATTAGAGATAAAAAAAAATCAATAATTCATGATATGTCAGATAGAACCTGTCACTTATGCCATAGACCATTTTGGTATCCATATATGTTGAAGTGACATTTTCAAACTATTAAGTATAGAATTAATATTGATATAAGCAAGCCTTCAGTTGAGTCTACTCAAGTCAACAATAGTATAGGCCAGTCTTCGAATAAATCTACTATTGAGTCTACTGTTAAGCCTACTATTGAATCTGACAAAAAAATAAAAATCAATTAAAAATCAAATCTATTATGCTTCTCTACTTTTTTCGATCTGAATAATCATTCCTATTTTTTATTTCAAGTTCACGAATTTTAACATATATACTTTCATCTCAAATCCAGCTTTTCATTGTTTCAACACATAATTTTGCAGATTTGCGGGATAAAGCAATATTAATTTCTAGTATTTTTTGCTTTGAAGTTTCAATAAATTTTAATCGCAATGCATCAGTTTCTTCTTTTAATCGTGTATTAAATTCTTCTTCGGTATAGGAACTATGCATAAGTGCTTTATTAACAGAAGTTTCAGTTATATAGTGTTCTTTTTCCAAAGATAAATTAGTTAGAAATTTTGATATAGAATTGGGATCATGGCGTTGATGCTGTTTTTTTTGTTGATATCTATCAATTTCATGTTTTAAAAAGAATTCAATAATCGAGTTAATGTTACTTGCCTCATTTTCAATTAATGGATTGTGTTTTTGAGCAGTGAGACATGTCCATGCTTCATTGACAATTGATGGAGGTAATTGGGCAATAAGACTTGAGTAATTTTTATGAAATGGCATTTCGCAGAATAATTCAGTTATATATTTCCATGAAAAAATTCCAAAAAACAAAAATATATATCATTTTTTACTTATTTTATGAAAAAATTCAATGAATTCTTTGGAAATTACACAATTTTTTATAATATCATGAATAGTAAGAAGCATGAAGAAGAAAGTGAATAGTAAAGAAATCAGTAAACACTTGTAAT